AGATGTACATACTGTAAAATTAAACTATAGTTTTACTTCCTGGATGTAACCATTAAACTGCACACAAAAAAACCCACACCATTAAAATATTAATTTCTCTGACAGTGCTTAGATGATTTCTTAATGCCATGACCAAGACATGGGAGTGTAGTAAACCCAGCCATATTTAAATGGGACATGGACCAAAAGGTCCCCACTGAAAATAAAACAAGTATAATATAATAGGAGTCACCCTTATTGTATTCTGCAACTAAGCTTACTTTCAGGCACTGTAATAAGAAGCAGCAAATGTTTTCATTTCATTTAATGTCAAAGCAACATTACCTTTAAGGAGCCAGACATCACAAGTGATGCTGCTGAATAATAAAATACCTGTTGTATACCTCGCTTGTGAGTATATCTCCTCCTTTTATTTTTTACTGTACCTCGTATCAGCCAGAGAGCATTATTTTGTGGTTTTATTTCTATCCCTGCATACTGAGAATACCTCAATGCCGAACAATCGCTACTAGGAAAAGAACAGCCCCACCACCTCTAAAGACCGTGTTGAAGACACATAAGGACCACCATCATATCCGCAGACGGTGATTGTACCATCCAGGTGCACATATCTGGAGCAGAGTAGTGATGTCCCAAACGGTTCGGCGAACATACGACCCTGTACCTCACAGTCAGCAGACACATTCCAGCCAATCAGCAGCAGACCCTCCCTCCCAGACAACATCCATTTTGAAGCTGCATTCTTAGTGAGCTGTCCAGGAGGTGGGAGGGAGGGTCTGCTGCTGATTGGCTGGAATGTGTCTGCTGACTGTGAGGTACAGGGTCATATGTTCGCCGTCCACGGCGAACCATTCAGGACATCACTAGAGCAGAGTATAAGCTCCAAAAAATTGTAAGTGTATTTATTTTCCTTTACTTAAAAACATCACTTGTCTAACATACTACGCTATATTTGTACCTTTCTTTTTCTCCTCCTTGCTCCGAGTTTGGAAATACTGCTATAGGTGCTGCTCCCTGACACCACCTTCCATACACTAAAATACATGTGTCTGTAGGTTGTGCCAGTTAGCTACAACTTGATATTAGTATGTTCTAGCAATAGTGGGTATATATATATATAGAAATCAACACATATGCTACTACTTCTAGCTGAAAGAGAAATATATCTAAACGTTTATGTAAGTTATTGCATTGTTGCAGTAGTAATCCAGAAAAGTAAATGCCACCGTTTATTCTGAAATATATACAACTCCATTCTTATATAGATCTAAAAGCATGTATAAATACAAAATGTAAGTTTGGTTTCTACTAAATTTTGAATAAATATAAAAAAATTGTACAATGCCTATAAATACACTTCTAGAGTAACTTAAGTTGAACATATAAGCAAAAGTTTGTGAAAACGAGACACCTTAATATGACTGTAAGGAATGTTCTCAAAGTACAGCTAATATTTAGCTGATTGTGTTTTGTAGATTGGTGCTTAGTGTTTTTTACCCCTTTGAATTACTCTTTGTGACTGATGGGATTACTTTTTGTTTTCTGCAGGGATAAAGTTACATGATTACACACAAAGCAAGTCTCAAACCACTTCTTTCCAGTTCAGAACAATGACTGTCACAAGGTAGCACTTTAATCTCAGTTATTGGTTCTTAGTAGTATGATGATCAGATTTATAGATTAAGTACAAACAGCGAGCAGTAAACTGCACAATGGTAAGAAGGGAGGTGCAAATTGAAAGGTAATAATCCAATTACCAGAAAAATCTACTTCAAAGGCTTGGTAATGTTGCTGCCTTAAAAGGTTTGAAAACTTCATAAAACACGGAGATCGTCCTGAGTCCAGCTGTGCCACTCAGAAATGATTATTTTGCATAATGGAGTGTACCAGGGCTTGCATCAAAAATCATTCTGGGAAGCAGAACGGTAATAATGCCAATTGTTACCAATAATTATAGGTACAAACAGAATCGTGATATTCTTTTAATTTACCAGTTTTTATTAGTGGGAGGGGGCTTTCACCACAATGTTTTAATCCATTCTAGAATTATAATATAATGTTTATAATAGAATACATTTGATATAAGCATCACGCTATACATAATAAATAAAACCTATGTGTAAAAATTTAATAAAACAAGACGGCCACTCTAAAACCTCAGGCAAGCACAAACCAGGAAGTGCTCAGGAGTCACTTTTTCTGGTGTACAAAGTCTGAGCTTATCCCATAAATTTCTATTCAGTAGTCACATCACACAAGTGTAACTGCGGCATACGTTGAGAGATGTCATACCATGGATGCCATGAACAGTCCTGTGAAAAGAGCTGTACAAGTGCAATTTGGACAGGAGTATAGTTGAAGTTTTTTGTGAAATTGCAGATGTTATAAGTATCTGAGTGCAAACAAATTGGGACAGGGGACATCCACGCACCATAACCTACGCAATGAGCACAAACTGTGGTGGTGCTTGGAGTGTCTCTTTAAATCAGATATCTATTTAAAAAACATGAAGTTGGTAGAAACATGGATCAAACAAACATAAAACAAAAAAATAACTGTAGTAACATATTTCTTGCAGTCAAATAAACTCTGCAAAAGAATTTCTTAACTTTAAATTCTACAAAGGGGCACTCCATACAGGGTCGTGTTATAATAAAAAGGGCTTATTTTCAATTACATTAGTAACTTTCATCTTTTCTCAATAAAACATGGATGAGCTTATGTTGCAGCTCCTTACCTTTCTGTAGGCATAAATTCGATCAACCAGAATCTTGGAGGTAAGTTGTGGGGGCAGCTGTGTGCTTACTATTCTAGAGTAAAGGAAGAACATGTACACGCAATATTAGAACAACGTACAATAATACAAACAAAAAGTCATAAAACCGACGGAGCTCTGAAACTGAAAAAAATAAAATAAAAAAAATTATATATATATATATATATATATATATATATATATACACACATACATACATACATACATACATACATACATACATACATACATACATACACACATATAACATTAACTTTACTACATGGCAATTCATTTGAAAATCAAATGCAGATATGAAAGGACACAATGTAGTAGCAGTAGCTCCCATAAGGGAAGCAACACCTAGGACAAGCATAAGCAACCTTCGGTACTGCAAATGTTTTGGACTACACCTTCCATGATGCTTTGCCAGCATTATAAGTGTAAGAGCATTATGGGGGATGTAGTCCACAACATGTGGAGGGCCGAAGGTTGCCTATCTCTGACCTAGGAGGTACCTAAGGAAGAAGGCTTTCATTACAGCAAGTAAAGGGCAATCCAATAAAAAATAAATAAATAAATAAAAAAAGTTAGACTTCAAGAGGCACTATAAATGAATAGAAGAACCATGGGGTAACACAGTAACATTTGAATTCTCACTTTAGTGAATAACCCCGAGAGAGATGAAGATGGCTGAGCATTGGAATGGCTGCTTCAGATAAATATATATCTTCCTTTACCCTTCTAGATAACATTATGCAAGCATGCTTTCAAAATAATGCAACATACAAAACTATAACCACTAAAAGCACATATTAAGCAAAGCTACAGTATAGTGTGCCCTCCAGAACACCCACAAAAACAGTGAACCGTACGAATGCAAAGTGTTGGAATGACACCTTCCTCATCATATTGCGTGTCTATTGCCTCTATGTACTGATCACACTATGTTGCGCCTGTGTTTTTACTAGATACCACAGACCACGATCTCTATTTTCTCAGTAAGATTGTGTGTATGTGTGTATGTGTATATATATATATATATATATATATATATATATATATATATATATATACATATACACACACACACACACACACACACACACACTACTATTTTTCACACTTCTCCTTCATACGTACACAGTAAATTATGGATTTTATGTCAAGACACGGAGGCTCATATTGCTTAACCCTTTCTTTACTGTCCACCAATAGCAGCAAAGAATACAAGTAGAAAAAAAAAATATAACAAATACAATGAGATACCAGCCAATCCCCATCCAGGTCCCAGTATAACAGCAAGCACCGCCTCTCAAGTTTCCTTTTTCTTTGCTGCTCCACACAAGATAAGTACAACATTTTTTACTCCTACCAGTAACTGTTTTTTCTCATTACCTTTATCTGTTTTGATTACTTATTTAATTATTACCATCTTATAGTCTGTATTTTTCCTATTTATTAACCCCTTAAAACCGGAGGGCGCACTATTACGCCCTATTCTAAGCGGCTATAAATGCCGCAGGGCGTAATAGTATGCCCTCACAGTTTGTGTTACTTACCCAGACGCCGGCGATCACGGTTGGGGAGACTCACCTGGGATCCCAGGGAGTCCGCCACCGCAGATCCTGCCTCCTCTGGCCCTCCCGGCCATGTGAGAGTGAGGTGCTTGCGAGGACCTCACAATCACATGGCCGGGTTAGCTGGCTGCTGCCATTGCCAGCAAGGGCACTGTATGTAATGACAGTTAGTCCCCCTGCTGGCTGAATTAAAATAAAATAAAGTTAAAGTCAGTATAAAAAAAGATATACGATATATATTATATATATATATACACACACACACACACACACACACACACACACAGTCTATGTGTATTTTACATATACATATATATAAATTACATGTAGACTGATACTGATTAAATATATAATATAAAAATGTAAATACATTAAAAATAAAATTAAAAAATTAATATATAGATGTGTGTTATTTCGTTCTAACTGTATTGTGATAATATATTTATATCAAAATACACGTAGAACGAAATAATATATATCTATATACATACACACATTATATATACACACACACACATTATATATATATATATTTTAATTCTACATATATATTTATGTAATATTTTTACATAATTGGGTATTTTAATTACAATTAGCGGGACCTGCCTAACAACCCATGCCGAAAGTAAAGGGAATTTAATTTGCTAGCACTATATTTAACCCTATAACTCTCCAAGACACCATAAAACCTGTACATGGGGGTACTGTTTTACTCGGGAGACTTCGCTGAACACAAATATTAGTGTTTCAAAACAGTAAAATGTATTACAACGATAATATCGCCAGTAAAAGTGACTTTTTTGCATTTTTCACGCACAAACAGCACTTACACGGACGATATTATTGCTGCGATACTTTTTACTGTTTTGAAACACAAATATTTGTGTTCAGCGAAGTCTCCCGAGTATAACAATACCCCTCATGTACAAGTTTTATGGTGTTTTCAAAAGTTACAGCGTCAAATATAAGGCTTGTGTTTCATTTTTTTCACATTAAAATTCGCCAGATTGGTTACGTTGCCTTTGAGACCCTATGGTAGCCCAAGAATGAAAATTACCCCTATGATGGCATACCATTTGCAATAGTAGACAACCCAAGGTATTGCAAACGGGGTATGTCCAGTCTTTTTTAGTAGCCACTTAGTCACAAACACTGGCCAAAATTGGCATTTTTTGCATTTTTCACACACAAACAAATACTAACGCTAACTTTGGCCAGTGTTTGTGACCAAATGGCTAATAAAAAAGACTGGACATACCCCATTTGCAATACCTTGGGTTGTCTACTATTGCAAATGGTATGCCATTATGGGTGTAAATTTCATTCCTGGGCTACTATACAGTCCCAAAGGCAACGTAACCAATCTGGCGAATTTCAATTTCAAATGTAACGTGCTATATTTGACCCTGTAACTTCCCAAAACGCCATAAAACCTGTACATAGGGGGTACTGTCTTACACGTGAGACGTTTCTGTATACAAATATGTGTATTTTATTGCAGTAAAAGCAAACAGTATTAGGACATTGACAGTTAAAATGTCATGTAGAACTAAAACAAAAAAAACACAACAAAATTTCTTATTTTCTTCCATTTTTTTCATATTAAATTATGTTTCATAGCTAAATATTTGATATTAAAAGCCCCGTTTCCCCTGAATAAAATGATATATAATAAGTGTGGGTGCATTTAATATGAAAGAGGCGAATTACGGTTGGACACACATGTAGCGCAAATGCCAAGTTTTGTTTACGTTTTTTTTTTCACAACGTGTACATTTGGCTCAGTCCTTAATGGGTTAATTCTGTTTCATATGACATTAAAGTGAAATTATATTTACTTTTGAGCCCAGGGTTCCAGACCTTCCTTCTTACATGTATTTCTCTCCTCTCTCTTGAGCTTTGCTTTATTTCTCCTATCTTCATATCCTTTATTTTCTTCTTATTTTCCAAATTTTCTGCTTTCTTCCCCACTTCTTCCTGACTGTTTTGCGCCTGTTTGGCTATTTTCATGTCTGAGTCAACCCCTTTCGGCTAAACTTGCCACAAATCCGTGCCTTTTGTTAGTTTGACTGGCATATGGCACCGTTGGACTATTTTGCCGCAAATGATTTTCGTTTGGCTGTTTTGCCGTGTACTGACCGTTCGTTAGTTTGTTCCCACAAATTAGTCCTGTTTCGCTGAGCTTTCGGTTCGCTAATTGGACGCATTCGCAGGATTTTTTGCAATGAATCTCACGAGCCTGGCGGTGGCCATTTTCTGATCTTATCCGCCCTTCTTGCTCGGTTTTACCTGTCTGCTGGTCTGGGTCCTGGTGAGCTCCCCATCTCTCCCACTCTTGTGTAACTAGTCTGGGGTGATTAACTCCTACTAGCCTGTACTGTTATTGTTTTTCTACAGCTTTGTTCAGGGTCTAGTATTGTACTGGTTTTTTTCATTTGTGGGTCTCAATGCATACTATATTCCCAAGTCTAAGGTGTTTGCCTGTCCCCCTTCCCCTGGTGAGATGGATATACCTCAAGGCTTGGGAAACCCCACTTCAGTCTCTGGTTCCCCTTCTTCAGTGGTTGGCCCTATGTCTAATCCTGATGAGGCTCAGTCCCTGGCGCTACAGCACTCAGTCACTGACGCTATTATGGCAGCTATGGGCTCTATGTCCTCTGCCCTCTCCCAGGCCTTATTTTCGCACCCACTGGCCGCAGAAAGTTCGGGCCCACCAACAATATTCTGGTTCGGACCCTTCAGGAGACGCACCCAAGAAGGCTACTACCAAATCCAGGCACTTTACTCCCTCTGCCTCCAGAATCCATATGACTGGTGAACCTGAGGTCACCCATGATATCGTGTCTGTATTACGCAAAAGAGCCTTTCCGCGCCAGGCAGAACGGGCACGGCAATGGAAATGTGCTAGAGCACAACCTGAGAGCAGCTCAGACTCAGAAATCGGGTCTAGTGAGGAGGCTGGTGCAGAGTCCTTGAGTGACTCTGAAGCGGATTTACGTGAGCAGGGCATTGACCTTTTTGACCCCGCTCAGTCAGGGGTGGCTGTGAGTTGCTCTTGAAGTGACTCCCTCGCTACTGCGGGCTCCACTCTCCTGGATCCGTCTAAAGTACCTATGTTCGACCCGGATGATCTCTATCACCCAAGGTCGGCTGAATGGCTCCCAGCGGATCATGTGGCACGTTGCCTAGAAAACTGGGTACGGCGCCCCCTCAGCAAGGCGGCCCGGAGTAAGCTCGGCCTTTGGTGCCTGATAAAGTCTGTGAAGACCCCAAAATGACACTTTCTAAATTGGGGTGGAACCCTTGTAAGGGTCTGGACTCGGCCCTTAAATTGTGCCAAGATAAACATTTGGACATATTTGGTCCCTTAGCAAAATTGTTCGACCTGGCAGAAGACGCCAGAGATCAGAACAGGCAGATGACCCGGAAGAACTCTGTGGATGATTACAGAGAGCAATCTGAATTGTGGGCAGTATTAATACCTCCCTGTCCATAGAACGGTGTAAAGCCATTCTCTTTAAAATAGAGCCGAAATTGGCCATATCTTGCACTCACCGAGGCGAGCAAGGACGCACAGGGCCTCTTGTTTGGGGACTCCTTTATAAAGCTCTTACAGCCCTTGATAAAGCTCAATCCTCCATGAAGAGGGTATTTCAAGGGCGGGTTTCTACCAGGGCCGGCAGATTCAGGGGGTGTCTGTCCGGCCGTTCCAACTACAACTCTGTAGCTCGGGGCAAGGCTCCTATATACAGCGACCCCCTTATCAGTAGGCGAGAAACCGGTCCCCCTTCTTCCCTTCACGCGGAAGACCATGGCGATTCAGAGGGAACTCCGGTTCCAAACGCCCTTACAGTAAGCTTACATCTACCTCATGTTTTTTCCAAATGTTTGTGTAGGGGGCAGACTGTCATTTTTTTCCTCACTTGCTCAGCCAGTGCTTGGGTTCTGGCCACCATTCGGGGTTTCCACATAGAATTGGTCGACCCCCCTTGTCACATCCCCCCTCCTCGTCCAATTACATTCTCCGTACACGTCTTGATAGACGTGGAATTGTCGGCCCTTCACAAGAAAGGGGCGATCGAGCTAGCTCCCACATCCCCCGTCGGGGTCCTCAGCAGCATTTTCCTGGTGGAAAAGAAGGGCGGACAGATGCACCCAGTTATCAATCTTTGTCCCCTCAATGTCTTGGTACGCTACCGCCACTTCAAGATGGAGGGCATCCACCTCATGAGAGACCTACTCCTTTGCGACGACTGGATGGCGAAACTGGATCTGAAGGACGTGTACTTGACGGTCTTAGTGGACGAGATGTCCAGGGACTTCTTACGTTTCCGGAGTGGAGTCACTGAGCCGTCCAAGATTCAGACCACCCGCAAGGAGTTGCGCTGCACTTTGGGGGGGCGTCTGGAAGACTTGATAAGAATGGCAGACTAGTCCTGTGAATCCACGCTTCGCAAATTTTATTTTTGACCGGTCCCTCACGTTTTTCCATTGGTCGTTGGTCAGCTTTAAACTTCCAATAT